AAGCCGCGCATTTGGCGGCAAATCGGGCGACTTCTTGATCTCATTGATCATCAGCAGTGTCCGTGACTTCCGCATCAACAAAGCTCCTTTTCCTAAACTGTCTTTTAGGAAATCCAAGTTTGATAGTTCTGAATTCAAAGGATTCTGAAAAGGTTCACAGTTGATTTAATGGTTGAACTAGATATAAAAGTAGACAGTCTTGATTCCTTCTGTGTTCCACAGACAATAACATCTTCAGAGTACATCTGGAATGAATACCTCACCCACTGCAGCTAGAACTTAATTAAAAAAAATTTCCTAAACTCCTTTTTTTCTCAATCCTGTCAGTTCATAGTGATAGCAGATTGAATAAAATGTGTCTTCTTATATGAACTATGAAAAAGATATTGCTCTTCTAAAAGTTTAAAAAGAAAATTGCATCGTTCTATTATTTTTGTTACTGAAGACTCATAATTATGAAATTCTAAATCTTGGAAGAAAAAAAAAAGAAACACGACTTTTAAAACTGCTTATAGAAGAGGTTTCTGTAGACCCTACTGGAATCAGTAGAAGTTTTTTTTCTTTTCAATACAGAGGCATTTGTCTACACACCAATTTCATTACTTAGATTAATATTTTATGCTTTCACTTACTAAACTCTTCTGCTGTCTTAGATATTTTTTTGACTATGTTGTTTTCCTTCAGAATGGTTCGGATCAGTTTACCTCCGTGACTCTGCTTCGAGATTTTCAGAAGAGCACCTCTAAGATAAAGCTCTGAGTGGATAATATGTCCTGGGATCATAAATATTAATTTTGTTTCAAAAACTTACTGTTCTTTTACGGAAAGTTTCAGATCTCCATTAACTAATTCTTGTGTATGACTCCTCAATCCCTTTCTTTAGGCAGGAAACATGTCTTCATGGGTGAACTAACACATCCTATTCCCAAACATGTCAGCATCATTAATGACATCAATTGACAAGAACTAGAACTGGAAATCTTATGGATGGTTCATGCTATATAAATGGTAAGCTATCAGAAAGGACTTCCCTGATTATTCAGGAAGAATAAAGACAGATCTATTTTTAAAATTCAACGGGAAAAATCCAAGAAAACAAAGAAAATGCAAGATGTACTTGACAGTCTCCCATTATCCTCTCTGTAACTGGGCTATTGCTTTTGGCTGCAGACATCCAGTTCACAGGCCATTTTCCATTCCCTTTGTTTTCATTACAAGAACAAGCTGGTTAAAGAAACTCCACTTGCTAATTTTAAACTAAGCTTTCAGCATCATCCCTTAGGAATTTAACCTTTACTACCATTCCTTACTTTGCCTCCCCACTAAACTCTGTGAAAAGCACTTTAAGACAAGGCAGATGTAAGATGTGTAAATACTCAGATCTTTAAGAAAATTCAATAGGAAGCAAATTCTTGTAGTTCTCCACTGCCATTTGCTATAATGCAGTGGCCCCCAACATCTGTTCCCAAATTTCAATTTACTTCATCTGCCAGGTGTTTCACATTGTTAATAATGGCAACTCACGAATGTACAATAGTCACATAAGGCAGTTACATAAATACAATCGACTTCACTGCATCTTTCTTAACCAGGCTACACATGACATTTTTCTTCGTTTTCTCTTCCCATAACAAAAGGAAGAAGACGACATTTCTGTAAAGAGAATCCCTGGACAACGTTCTGGTATTGAAGTCAGAGAGGTCACTGAAGTGCATGTCAGCAATGTCCAACAGTTAACTCAACCAGGAACTAGCTGTGATGTTTTCCATTGCACACATAACGGAACTGGTCCAAAAACCCACTTTAAACTAGTTACTTTAAAATTTTTGGTCCAAATACATAAAATAAGCAGTATTTACAGCATTTTACTCTTTTTGTAAATGTAACGCTTTAAAACAAGTTATAAAGCACCTCAGTAAAAATATTCTACAGATAAAAGTATCGAAGTAGTAGGAAAACCCTAACCATACCACAGCTCACTAATGGAGTCATAATATGGATTCACCAATACCTCAGTTTACAATTATTACAAAGGATCCATGGAGAAACTTAATATGGAATTTATGATTTTTATACCACTGCCTAAGGAACAACTAGAACTGCAGACAATACCAAATTGCTTCATAGCCTTCCCAACCTCAGTCAGTGGTGGTGGGGAGAAAAAACCCACCAAAACCCAACCCCGCTGCTCTGATTCTTTTTTACAATATTAACGTGGAAATGATGTTTTAACACTAATGATTAGTTGTAATTTTTTAATAAAACCACATATATAAATATGGGCAATTCCAGCAGCAGCATCATTTCTCAGCAGAACATGATTAACCATCCCAATTAATATTATGTGACATGTTTCACAAAAACAAAGCACAGATGTCAACCAGTTATTAACACCACTCATATGGTTTACAACCAAAATTTCCATGTTGAAAGCTGGGAGAAATTATTTCCTCTTCACAGAAGCATAAATGAAAATAAATTGCTCTGAAAATTAAAAAGAGCATAAACAGAAGCATTTTTTGTTTGTTTATATTTTCAACTAGAACTGCTGTGTATTAATTGCTCCAAATTAAAGTGTAGATTTCTTCAGGTACAGGATATTAACTCCCACTGAAAAGTATTAGTTAGATAAAAGAAATGAAGCCTTTGCTTCTGGACTACCAACATAGTTAGCCAGCACCCAACACCCTGGAGGTGATCCACAGCCCACTTTTCTCAGACCTAGAAAGAAACATCTTGGAGGTCTACAAGCAATCTAGTTTCCATGGCTGAGGACTAAGATGACGATGTGACCAAAGATTTAGGTCCATAAATCTAACAGTAGTGTTCTTAGTTTGATTTAGGGTAAATCTTTTCATAGAAAAAGTTTTGAGCCAGAATATACAATTCTCCATCTTTTTCCCGAACTGCGTGTGCTCTGACGAACTGAAATTGCTCCAGTGCAAATTCATAGAACTCATTTTCCATTCTCCAGATTTCAGATTGTTGTAGCTTGGCAATAGTTTCTTTTGTGGGAAGCTTTTTCTCAGTTGTTTTCCTGAGATGAGACTTCTTTCCTAAATGCAAAATGAAAGCAAGAACTTCACTTTAAAGATCACATGATTAAAGAACCTTTATAGCGCTTTTACTTATAGAATTTTGTATGCTCAGCATGTTGCTAAACTGCATTAAAAGAGACAGAATTTGATCCTGAATTTATTAACATAACATGCAGGGCTGGAAAATTGTAGTCTCTCTCACTAAACTTTAATGAATTTTGCATCAGTTCTTCCAATTCTTCCTGCTTACTCTAATAAACTCAGTGAATGAACACTTCATTTAAGGAACAAGATTATTCCACATAACATACTTAGAGCAAGATTGGTCTTTCAAAATTAATTATTTAGATGTTAATGTGGTATCAAACATTAAGAATTTTAAAAACTGCGGAGCAAGAGATTTCTTTCATGAAACAAAGATGACCAAAATGATGACAGCATTCTCCCCTAAGAAGTACTATCTGTTGCTTTGCAATAATCTTAATACTTCATGCCTAGGCTCTACATGTCAGACCCTTTTCCCCCTCCATTTGCAGAAAGAAGCACTGCTAGGATGAGCCTTTTCCTCATCATGGTGGTCTCCTAGAAACTGAACTACTAGCTATATAACAAATTTCTAATTACAACCCCAGGAGGATAAACATATACTTGGGCTGTTGTACCCCTGGGCCTTTTAGCACAGCCAAGCAGGCTGCATTAGGCACAGTTAATTTCAGCAGGGCTTCTGAGCAAATGGGAATCTGCCACTATGAGCCATTTGACAAAACGGATGCCCCTGCAAGACCTTTCAAAAATGTTCTGATAAACAGCTGTCTCAATTTTTTACATGTGGTATACCTGTTCAACTGCCTTAACCTCGAGCTTAAATATTTACAATTTGTATAAGGCAGGAAGATACTTGGGCTGCCCTCAAAAACTTGTACTGAGAGTCTTCTAAAAAGTTTGTCCCTTCTGTACAAATACAAACCAACAGACAAATGTGGCAGAGACTAAAAACTATTCATCTATGGCTAAGGAACTCACATGAAAAAAAAAAAAGAGAGAGTAGGATGAAAAAATCCATGAAATCCATGGAAATCATCCATTTAAATACCTGTCCGGTACAGTTCTGTGGCACCCCTGAAAAACCGGGGCAAAGCTGCCTCCAATAACATGATAAAGTCTTCAAGCTCTTCAGTAACTCCCACTAGGAAGTATTCATTAATCAGATTGTACTTGGCTTGTTCCAAAGCCCATCTGCTTCCCACATTCCTAAAACGACAGAAGAAAATTACAGCAAGTTCTGATGTCGGCCAACAATCCTTTGTCGCTAGATGGACATTACTTCATAACAGGACATTTGTACAGCAAAGGCAAGACTCGTTTCAAGCTATAACCATTCTTAACTTCATTTCCTTTTCCAGTTTCTCTCATCTGTGTTCCTATCTAAAAATTTGCCTTCTCTAGTTATTTGGACTAATAACTCATCCATAAAAACATGTGTGTATATGGTTACTGTCTCTATTAAAGTAAGTTCTGTAGAATTTACATTTTCTCCGTGTCAATATTCAGTCTCCACTTACATGTTAGGTACCAGAAAGGGTTCTGGTGAGAACACACATTCCCTTTTGCATCCTACAAGCACAATTCTTCACTAAAATTTCATTGCACTCAATGGGAGGACTTTCCTACTGAGCAACAGGCAGAAATTAAACCAACATCCTTTCCTTCTTTTTAGGTTTAGAGTTCATTCTTTCTCTGCTTCTTAACTTGGCCCAGGTACAGATAGACCTGACCAACAGGCACCGAAAGAGGAGATCCCAAGTGGCCATTTATTTTACTTGGCTTTGGCAAACACCTTTGACAAACAATCACCCTTGACTCCACTCAGAATCCTTCAAATAATCTACAACCTTTTTTTTTAGTTTGCTAAGAGGTGGGTTTTTTTTTTAAGTCTGTGCCATTGTTACAAAACATGCTGCATTGACAGATGGACATTATTGGCTTTTGTTTTGATTTCTACTAAGCAGCATTGACTACTGGATGTCTGGTAAAGGTTTAAGAAGATAAATTTATCCTGATCTTAATTATTTTCTTCTCCCCAGAAGCTGTAGGAACTTGAACAAAATATCCCCATTCAGAAAGACGGATATTGTAGTCTGACATAAGAGAAAAATGTCAAGACTCCAAATCTACAAAAACTATTTTTAAAATTGAAAACATCTGTTTTCCCTCATAGCACTGCTGATATAGTATACTAACATATTGCTTATTTAAAGAACTGCAAGACTGTTTCACTGAAATGCATCTTCAAAAGCAAATACATTACAAAAGTACCTGCTGCTTCATTCTGTCCAGTCCTTCACACTCTCCCCAACTGTGCCACATATTTAGATCTGTTAAGTTTAGATTTCAGTGGTGACATACCTGACTAAGAACATAAGCTACATTTATCTGCCTACCAGCATTCGGAGCTGTGGCCACAGAAGAATGGAATTTGAAGCCAAAGTTTCTCTGGAGCACAGTCTGAACCTCCAGCTGCCACACATTCATCAAAGGTCTGGAACAAAGACAAAATTGAGTTGAGCTTTAATATCTAGTACACGTATCAAACATCTCAATCTGGTTAATTGCTAAATGGAGTGGGAACATAGAAATACAAAATAAGTAAGAGAGAAAAAGTTATTTTTTCAAGCCTTGCTTTCACAGTGTTATTGGCAGGACTTATTTGTCTCAATTAAAACAGAACTTGGACAGTCTTTTATGATTAGAACTGAATGTACAATGTGATCTAACCTGATGCATTTGATATACTCTTGATATAACCTCGATAAAGGCTGTATGTCAAAACAAGCAAAACCAGTCGGCAAATGTTGGCATCATTACTTTTTGCTTACAAGAGAAGTCATGACACAGCATCAGATGTCATCAGGATTTGTGTGATACTGGAGCAGGTGGATCTTTATACCATACAAGATTGTGCATTTTTTTTCTTTAGATTAAACAATGTTCTATTACATTTTAAATATAATGACAAATAACTGCCATTTCAGAGTCTAATTTGGTTTTGGCAATGAGAAGTAGTGAAAGCACGTTGTTCACTGCGTAACAGAGCGCTCCATACTACATGCCCTAGTGGACAGACAGCTGTAGGAACACAGAGCTTCAACTGCAGTAATATAGTTACAACAAGAACTTCTTTAGCATTGGAAAGAATTTGTAAATATTTTATCCAGTCACCATAAAGGAAGTATTTATGATATTTCTAAGTAACATATAAGCCACGTATCTAGAATAGACTTTTAAAAAAAATATTTAATAACAAATACGTGATCACACAGACAAGTTTTTAGACTATTTCTCACGTATAATCACAATTTTCTGTTTAAAACAACTATAAAAATACATCTGCACAGTTATTAGGTATTTGAACAAGGACAATGTTGTTTGCTTCTGTTTTGAGGTGATGCCTCAGATAATCTGGAAAATAAATATTAAATCCTATAAACAGCTTGGACTTGGTAGGATGCTCAGCATCTCAACTCACTGAGCTCCAGCCGGAAGGAAATCCACCGGCTCCTCACGAAGCAGAACCAAGTACGTTACAAAAGATGAGTTCCTATTTCTCATTTTAAAAATGCCTTTATGATGCTATATTACCAAATCGCCTCTGTAGCCTCTGTACTTCTATGAAGACACATTTTTTAAACTTAATTTCAATTTGTTCTGCTCAGTGCTTTCCCCTCCCTACGCTGTAGATGTCCGGACAAACTGAACCGCAGTAGCTGAAGATGGCGCCAAAACCTAAAGAGAGGAGCCGCTAGTGATGGAGTGGGGAGAAATCCTGAGGTACGGTCTGCTCCCAATATTTAAAAAACACTATTAGGATGTGAGAGAGTTGTATTCAGCGTGATTTTTGCTTAATCATGTTTCAGTCTCTTGGTATTCACACAGTGCTACCCTGAATTGTCAGTATTACAGAGACATTTTATCAGTTTAAGAAAACACTGTCACTAAATTTAAAAAGTCTTTGGCTCTGTGAAGTACTAACCACCCTTACATTTTATAAAAGCTTCCACATTGTTCTAACTCTATAGGTTCTATTTATAGTTTTAACCTGAACTACTCTATAACCACCTACAACAGATGAAGAAAAAGTATATAAAGGTATGATTCATACTCCATAGTTTTCAAGCATGCTCTTTATAAAATTCCACTGCAATATTTACAATTAAAAATAAACTGGTTGCTAATTGTAATAAAAAAACCCCAAAACCCAAACAATCATCAAAACCAAAGCATGAGCAACTCTACAGCTCTTGGTGAAAAATGTACATACCGGTCTTTCATAAGAAGAGATGCAGATTTCCTTCACAGGAGGATAAGCTTAACTTTATACTTACAATGCTGTATTCCTGAAATAATTTTTTATTTCATTTAATTTTTCCAACAAATTGCAAAATAAAGTGAATTTATTAGGTTACAAAGAACGTACTTAATGTTACACTCTGGTCCAGTAGGGACACAAAAGTGAGAATATAACTTAGAAAGTCACCACCATCACCAAGGCTGATACAAGACCTAGTCAGCTTTTATTGGGACATTTTTTAAAAATGTTTTCTCATTAACTTTAGTAAGAACAATATATATAAATGTACTTTACCTTTTTATCCCCCTGTTTTCGTCTCCGTAGCCCTGGTCTGTAATCATCTCCAAAGCGCAGAAAATAATAATAAGAAACTAGTCGCTCTATAGGATCTCTTATGACATTTATGTAAATCGGTTTCTTTTTAACACCAAATCTAAAGTAAAAGAAGGAAAAATATGTTTTAAAGGCCAAATCAAACTTCTCATCTAATACTTAAAAGCCTGTCTCTATTGATACAACTGAAATCTATATACGGAGATGATAGTGAGAGGAATTTTAATGATCATTTTCTTTCATTCTCACAGCCAATGCGTTACATGGATGTGAAAGTCAGTCCAATTTCAGTATTCCTAGGATTGTGATTTTAGTTGCGTTTTTTTATAAGAGAAACAAACAAAACTGAAATATTCTCAAACAATAGATATTAAAAAAATTTACACAACTATCGTGACTCTAGAAATACCTTTGTGAGTCTGGCAGCCACATACATGTTTACAATAAGCATAAGGAAGTTTGATGTCGAGTTCCTGCCCTCCTGCTCTGTGCTATGCAGTGCTGCAAGTGGTTTTCCTGGCAGGTCTCCAGTTCTCAGAGACATGAGCTCTACCAGAAGGAAGACAGAGCTCAGAGCTCCGTCATTAGCTCAGCTGAATCCATATGACTATGCTTATTAAATACAAGCCTAAGACAGAGAACTAAATATGGTCACAGGTACTATCTAAAGATACAATTTTCCTCCTTAGACATTTAACCTAAGCAAATTGTGATTTATTGCGGTACACAATCAGGAAGCTTGACGAAATGAGATAGTAAGCTCATAGTACACATGAAGAAGATTTAAACCACCTGAACTGTTTTGTGCAAATGCTACCATTCAGTGATCTACACTCAAGATACCTTTTATGATACACTTCTCAAATGGGTTTTCTTGGGGTTTTTTATTTGTTTGTTTGGGTTTTTTCCATTTCAGACATAACTGTGGCAAATAAATATGGTATCCAAACATTAAAGAGGTTTTATCACAATGGAAACTGCAAGTGTGTCAAGTGCCCTGAAGTAAAGTTAGGAGCTGGAAAAAAAAAATCTCTTCTGTTCCCATGCAAACTGGGAAAGTGTTCTGCCTTGACAGAGGGCCACTCAAGCCTCCTAGCTTGGCATAACACAGAAAGAGCTGTAGTTTTAAGATGCAGTGCCATCATTGTTAAAGTGCTATTCTGTAAATTATAATAGCAGATACTGCTCGTACGGGGACTCTTAAGTTGGAAAGATGAAGAACAGAAACACAGATAAGTAGCAGAAAAGAGGAAGTTAGAAAAAACCCCCAAACACCAAACCCAACTGAAAGGCCTTACTTTGGCAGAAGACCAGCACTACAGATACAGAAGCTGTTAAAGGCTACAGAAAGAGCAATTGATTCTTCAGATGTTGCCAGCCCGAGTACCCATGAATCAGACTGTAGCAGTTAAAGGTGACACTGCTGACATCTGAGTGCCAGCTCTTACTCCCAAAGTAGACAAAGTAAGAGTGTGTGAATGCTTCAACCACTCTGATGCAAAGTCCGGTCTTTGAACTGCACTCTCCTTCAGGTCCACTCAAGTGTCAGAGACATGCACGAGTGTCCCCTTCTACAGAATCTGCTGCAAGTGTCATAGAAGACTATAACAAACCATTCTGCTACAGTATCAGCCTCAACCAATAATATCTATCTGTGGGTTAAACGAAGGTGTCAAAGCCCTTGGAAACGTCTGTGCTGTACATTCGTATGGATTTGCACATGGCCTCGCAAAACTAGCTTCGGTTACAATAACATATGCCACTTACTAGTGTAACTTCATTAACAACGATAACGATTTGGCAATTGCATCATCAAAGAACTTTTTTCCAATCATTTCCCAGAGAAAGTAGGGAATAAGGGTAGACTAGAAATTAAAAATAAAATAAAAAAAAAAGAGGGAAAAGAATTTGAACTTCTATTACTGTAATTGCTGCATGGGTGGGTTATGATAATCTGTCCTCAACACTGTAAGTCATCAACTCAATTCTGTACTTTAAGCTTCAGCATAATTTAAGAGGTACTTGTGATATTTGACAGACGACCTAAGTCTGAAGTCTGTGTATAAGCATGCACAGACTTTTCTGAAATATTTTATACTTCTGAACCAAAAGAACGTCCACTACAAGAACACAGCTCACGGCCTTAAAAGAGTGGGCCTTGCCAAGCACAATCAGGGGATTGGAGATAATATTTTAATAATGAAAACCCAAAGTATGAGAAAGCAAGCTGCTGTGGGAAAAAAATAAATCATTTGGGTGAAAGGATAACAAACAACAAACACAAGGATAACACAGTCCTGGAGGGAAGAGGAACATGAAAGAAATCTGTGAAATTGCTTAGGTGCTTTCCAGATGTAAAATGATTATTTTAGTTTAAAAAGTTACAGTATCTGAAAGTGTTTCCAGCTTTATCAAGTAATGTATAAAATAACATTCACCTTTGCTGTGCCAGAAAACTGCTATTCAGTTCAAGAGTTTATTAATGTTGGAGCATTTTAACTTTAAAAAGGCAGAAAGGAAGATAACGAAATTTGAACCATTTTATTTTATTGATTAATTTACAATTACGACTTCTTGCCTGTTACTTTTTGTAAACTTCAAGCTTTTACTTGGTGCCATTGGTAATTTCCAGCTAGTACTGTAGCTTTTAGCATTTTCTATTACATAATATACTGTACTGGGAATCTCTGAGGCTCTCTCCCTTCTTATTCCTTGTAATAAAAGCTAGAATTAAAAATTAGTGCACTTAAAAGAATGAATAATTAAAAGCAATAACTAAACAGAAGAAATTCTTACATACAAAAACCTCACTTCATTAAATAATTGTTTTAATACACAGAAGCATAACATTACTGACGACTAATCACCAGTAAGAGGTAAAATTAGTGGTTACTACTGGCTGTGCAGTCAAATACGCTGAGATCTGAAAACACCATTTTCAATTCTAAACCCTCTTCTACATGGTGCAAGTGCAAGCTGGAACACTGCCCAGTAAGCATCATAAGCAAAACTGACTTGCCAGTTCAAGGGGAAGTTTCACACGACTGAGGTATCGAGGATCACTGCTTTAGATCCAGAGGCAAAAGTAAGACCAGGAAAGAAACACATGGAAGCAAGAACACGGACACGATCCTGAATCTATGAAGTCAATCACAGGCAGGATTTTTGCCTCATTTTATTTTAAATTAATTTTAGAAGTAGCAAGGTTTAACTCCACAGGAACGATTTCAGCACTTTTTACAGCAAATGAAATTACTGTAGGCCAGAAAATGGCTTTAAGATATAACTTTTAATATTTTAATAAAGCAGAAAGTGGTATTCTGATAGAGAAGAACTACATAATTTAAGAGGCAGGTGGTATTTTTCCTTATATGAGACATATTTGAAAATAGGTATTCTAAACTTCCCAGAACAGGAAGCCAATCCTAAGGCAGAACTGTCAGTGTTCCAGAGAAAAGCCAGGATTTTCAGCAAAACAAGCCTGTAATTCAGATAAGCAATACTCAATCTAGCACATAAAAAGTTTTGAAATGAGAGTCGACTACACAGTATCATGCAAAAAGACAAGAGAAAACTGAAAATCAAGGCCAAATATTTGCTTCTAATAGGAATTTCAGTGTGTGGATTTTTCAAAACTGCAGTTGTCAAACTTCCATCACTAGAGGGCACCAAGATCCCACCTGGGTACAAGCAACGTAAAATACTACAACTCGGCAGATAAATTCAAGGGTAACATACTTCGCAAAGTCCAAATAAGATATATGTCCGTGGTAAAATCCTGGTTTCATTTCCTTCCAGGAAGTCACATTCTTCACAAATCGGACCTGTAAAAACAGGAAAATGCTTCTGTACAGCTGGAACACATTAAGTTTCCCCATATACGGCGTTTCCTGGTTTGTAAGTAAAATCTTGAAATGCATTAGGAAAAAAGTCTATTTTGTATATTAAAGAATTTGTGCTAGCTAAAATAGACTTTTCTGCAAGCATTTTAGATCATCACAACTTAATGATCAGAAACTAAACAAAAGCAGAACACATCAATCAGAAGGGTAATTCAATGAAAGCTACTGCAAAAACATTAGCAAGACAAACATTTAAAAATTTTGTCAGGCCATTTTATTTGTAATTTGAAAGGAATGTGAAATTCCACCAGCAATAAGCAGAAATGCAAGTACACCTTTGATGGAATTGTCTGATCTGCATTTAGTCCCTCAAATAAAAACACATCAGATTTACAAGCACGTCCTTAGACTTATTTTACCGTGACATAAGAAATAAGTCTGATGGTTCATTTTTTCTCCCATCCCAAAACATAATGCATAAGTAATCCAGAAATTTTATAAATGTATACAGTGTAAATTAGATCTATAGTTCACCATTCTGAATACTTAACTTAAGCCTAATATTTCAGTGAAATATTAAATGTTAAAGCATGAAGGAGCCTTTACACAAGGGCTGATAAAGCAGTTATTGGCAAACTTGACAAAAATAGGAATAGCTTTACATTTCAAAGAATAAAGTAAGATACACTCCCCAGACCAGAAAGTAAGATCAAAATAAGTGGGACATGCAAATCCTGATACAGCTTGGGTTTATTAGATGAACAGAATATTTTAACATCAAAGCATTTAACTCTGAAAGTTATTTCAAAACTAGTGAATTGGATAATAGAGAAAAGACGATAAATTTGTACTGCCTGAGCTGTCTGACAACGATATGCCATTTCGGAAGCTGACAATTAGAAGATAGTGTTCCCTGCACATCTACAGTATCTTTTCTGTTATACAGTGACACAGATAATCACAAAGATACTGAGGTGAGACAAGAGAGTCAGAAAAGTTGGAGAACTCAAGACAACACACTAATATTCTGTAAAGTCTAATGGATTGAGAGTGCCCTGAAACATTTATTATAACCAACCAATTGAGGATTTTAAGAGGCAAGACTGGGCTGCTGCTGTTTCTTCAAATGTGCAAAACCTCACAGTATGCTAGGGATTGGAAGGGACCGCAAAAGACCACCTAGTCCAATCCCCCCGCCAGAGCAGGAACACCTAGATGATGTCACACAGGAAGGCGTCCAGGTGGGTTTTCAATGTCTCCAGAGCAGGAGACCCCACAACCTCCCTGGGCAGCCTGTGCCAGTGTTCTGTCACCCTCACTGAGCAGCAGTTTCTTCTCAAATTTAAGTGGAACCTCATGTTCCAGCTTGATTCCATTACCCCTTGTC